TAACACTACTTGGATTTTGTTCTTATAGTTATCACTGCGGAGGTGCTGAACATGCCCTGCCTAGATTGTTACATTACTCTATTGGAATGTATTTGTATTATTATGTGTCATAGACAAAGTAGAAAAAGGGGATGAGCTTGTGAGGTCAGCTGCTTTAGATCATTACATCAGACATCAGGTTCATCTTTCATTATTAAGCTGCTTTCAGACATGCGCTGGACTCCGTACAATCACTTCCGGCTGTGCTCTATGTGGGGTTTTTCTGATCCCAAGTAAAAACTGCAGATAATGTCCCAGTGGGGCCACGTGAGAGAATAGGCGATGGTCGTGTTGATGTCGTTTGTAACACGGGACAGGCGCGAAACAGAAATACTGAAAGAGGACCCATACATGTAGAAGATGCACAGAAAGACGTGAACTTGGAAAGACCATGAGATTCGAGAGCTTTTCGTGATGAGGTTGTAAACAAAAGCACTGATCTTCCCTCAGCAGAATTTAAACGTAATGTCCTGCCTCCTGCTGCTCTACAGGCTCCACCCCTCGCTTGAATGTTCCGGAGATTGTTCTGTTGTTGCGAACGCTTGTGACCCGGACAGTCTCCCGCTGCGTTCTTCATATATGAAAAGAAAATGGAAAATGTGTGGACATTCTCCGGAGTTCATGTCTGAAAAACGACTTTAGAGACGGGGCTCAAACATGAGGCACTTAAATAATTATTATACTTCCTCTTGTTGATTGTCACAGGCTATGAGGCCAGTGAAGACAAGGCTTACAAGGAGCCACTACTAACCGGCCCAGATGAGCCTCCACCGGTACCGGTAATGCTGGCTGAGCCGGCCCCCACGGCGCCCGTCCCCCTGGAGTGCGCCGAGCCAGCCTATACAGAATACTCGGAGCCCGGACAGCCTGGGCACACAGGTGGGCTGGTTAGTGACTGGTTGCTTGTAGGAGCAGGCTGTGGGCTGGTTACAGATCAGTGGGGGGGTTTACAATGTGTCTACTAAAATGTCTGTTACATGTTAATCTCTGCAGCGTTGATAAATTGTTCGGGTTCTAAAGAATTAACATAAAACATTTTTTCTCTTGTTCTGTTTCTTCATGTCAGTAAATGTGTAGTTTCTCACCATCTCTGCTCTTTTCCGCCCACATCCTGCTTTTGTTGTCATTTTGTTTTACTCAACCTTACATCTCATTGGTCTGAAAAATGTTCTGCCCCCAGGTTCAGAGATTCGTCGTGTTGCTCTTTAATTTACGAAGATATTTCCCATATGTGTGTCAGCAGGCACTGATCCCCAGCCTGAGAATCCCCAGGAAGGCTTGAGGGAGCACCTGAAGAAGACCCTGGAGTTCTGTCTTTCCCGGTGAGTTTACCTTAGTACTTTAACTTTATCAGTTCTTTCCACTTTATATCTCAATGAGCTCAGTGGAGTATGGCTGCTGGTTTTGGGAAGAATCAAGAATCAAGGCCTCACAAAATACTTTTTTGACTTGGCACCAAAATCAAAAACAACGGCAAACATGCCAAGGAAACCTGAATGCACTGAGTTGGACTAGATGAGAAAAATATCTGGAGAAAGTGAAATGAGCTCTTTTGGAGACCACTCAGCAGTTGCACCAGTAAAGCAGCCGAGTGTGCAACAGCTGTGAACTGGAGATGGTTCAAGAGGTGCACTTGTGGCAAAAGGCCACCGCTTCACATTTTCACATCGGTCCTCTTCACGTATCGTAAAACAAGCAGCTCCGTGTTTATTGGATCGATGGTGTAGTTTGATGTGACGACAGCCGTGACTCTGTGGGCGATAATCAAACACTCAACATTACCTGTGTAGAGAAAAGTAACATTTCAACACCACACGGTAGCAACGGGACATTTTACTGTCTAATCCGTGCCCTGGAAGTTTCACTGACCTTTGCTGCCTTGCTTCTTTGTCTCTCAGGGAGAATCTGGCCAGTGACATGTACCTCATCTCCCAGATGGACAGCGACCAGTATGTGCCAATTGTGACGGTGGCCAACCTGGACCATGTCAAAAAGCTCAGCACAGATGTCGAGCTGATCGTCGACATTTTACGATGTGAGTTAAGCGTCTATTAAGAGCCAATCAAAAGTGACTTGGTGATGTAATGTGTTTTTGTTTGCAGCCAACATTTATTAGCGTCTGTGATTTCATGAATGCACCAGGACTCTGAAGGTGGCTGCTTTATCTGCTGAAGAGACAAACTCACCAGAATTTTTATCAGCGTTGTGATTGAGGTTGATTTCCCAGGAGAGGTTGTTGAAGTGCATCCAGCAGAGCCTCGCCTGCTCTTCAGTAATTTATATACATACCTAATTTACTACCTAAAGGAATCCTCTCTGCCTGGACACTTTTAGTTTATGGCTCTGTGGTGTGGTCCGTCTCAAGATTTTGTAAATTAATTTGAGGGGCTTTCACTCCTTCCTTGTTTGTTTTGGACCGTCTGACTTTTCAGCTTAGTCTGGAGCAAAATCAGGTGTGAGAGGTCCGGACCAAAATGAAGTGTCCTAGAGAGTCGATCTCTGTCTAGTCAAACTGAACCATCAACAGTTTTCAGTGTAATAGACTGTATAAAGTGACCCATCTAGTAAATTAGATTATTTTAAATCACAATCTGCGAATGCTTCTCCCTGTTTTGAGGGACGAGAATAACTTCAATTACTTTCTTTTAAATTGTCATCATCTAAAACTCATTCATCTGTTTTCCTCCAGCTCTGCCATTGGTCCAGGTGGATGAGAAGGGGGAGAAGGTGCGACCCAATCAGAACCGCTGCATTGTGATCCTCAGAGAGGTTCCCGAGAGCACGCCCATCGAGGTCAGTGAACGTGCTTTATTCTCACCGTGGCAACAAGCTAATCATCGATCCTTGTTTTCCCGGCAGCATGAGTCAGCAAAGACATGGAGTGTGATTATTCTACAGTTTGGCTCCGTTCACACGCTGAATTCAGGCAAAGCTCACATGAAGGCACCGAGATATACAGATGTGTGTGATTGATAGTTTTTCACAGTCACATTTCTTTGTTGGCCTTCTATTCACACTCTGTGCTTCGAAGACAAATACAAAATTTGAAGATGCAGTTCTGTAGTTTACATTAACGTTAGAAATACAGTTTTAATTGTGTCTTCCAGAGATGTAGTTAAATCAAAGCAGTTGTGTGTTCATGTGAACTGCACAAGTTGGAAGCAGTTGATGGTGAAAGCCCCAGTGATGTATGGCGGTCGTGTGCAACAGAACTTGAGTGAAAGGTGCAGGGTCTGCATTGATTCCACTTGCCTGACAACAACACTGTTGCACCTCCAATACACAGCTTGGGTTTTATGTAAAGTTGGTTGTCAGTGTGTCAACAGTTCTACACACTTCATTCCGTGACCTCCCTTGACCTGCTGTTTTGTGCTGCAGGAGGTCGAGGCTCTTTTCAAAGGGGACAACTTACCCAAGTTCATCAACTGTGAATTTGCCTACAACGACAACTGGTTCATCACCTTTGAATCAGAAGCAGATGCACAGCAGGTAACAAGTGAAAAATGTACATTTAATGTCCTCACTCTTCCCCCCCTCCCTTGATATCAACTTTTTTGTTGTGGATCCCTTTTTTATACCTTATTTGGGTTCTTACAAAAACCTTTGCATGTTGATCATGTGCTGTTAGTGATACACTTAAAGAGTCATCTTGTACTCTGATGTTCCTGATTACATTTAAACCAGATTGTTACCTCACGTTGTGTCGCCCACTTCACTTTTTGTTAAAGGCATATCAGTATCTGCGGGAGGAGGTGAAGACCTTCCAAGGGAAGCCGATTAAGGTAGGCTGCATGGTCAAACGCACACGGACTGAGTAACACCTGAAAAATATACAAACTAAGTCTTTCCCCAAGACAAGCAACACAACATAGCTGCTTTCAGACATGCACTGAACTCTGGGCCTCAGTATTAATGGATGCAACAAAAAAAGGGTAAATTATGTTTCTGGCTGGTGTTCATTTCATGCCCTGTTGCGCAGGCGAGGATCAAGGCGAAGGCAATCGCTATCAACACTTTCATGCCAAAGAACGGTTACCGGCCGGTGGAGGTGAACCCGTATGCCCAGCAGCGCTACACGTCCTACTTCATCCCGCCGGTTTACAGCCCCCAGCAGCAATTCCCTTTATACAGCCTCATCACGCCACAGGCCTGGTCGGCTACACACAGCTTCATCGACCCAACGCTGGTGAGTTTCAAGAAATGTGAAACTTTTTGTCTGCTGTCGAGTGGCGCATTAAAAACATTGTTAGTTTCTTTAATTCTTTAGTTTGTTTTCAAATTAAAAAAAGGGTAGACCCAATATTTAAGCTATTCCTTGCTAAACAACTTCATATTAAAACGCATATCAAGCATTTGGTGTTAGGATTCCTAATAATTCTGCTAATGAATCTGTTTTCTCTTTACCAGGTCGCCCCATTTCACAACAACCAGTTCATCAACGGATTTACGACATCACACAGTTTCAAACCAGCGACGTCCCCCCTCACTGTCAGACACTACTCGCTCAGGAACAGGTTTGTAGCTCTGTCCTCTCAGATGAAGATTCAGAAGAAAGAACATCCCTGTTCATACACAGAGATGAAAATCAATTATTCGCAGTGATAGTTATCGTCCTTCTGAAGTTTTAACAACAACATATATTTTGGTTCAGTGGAAATTTCAGTGCGCGCTTTCAGACATGCACTGAAGTTTGGATATTTTCCTGACATTGAGGGTAAAGCAACACTATTTGAGAGGTTTTGGCAATAAAGTCTGACCCCGGTGTTTTCTGTAGCAGTTAAACATTATACACCCTTGGCCTGAATTCTTTTTCTGTTGATGTGAACACGTCCGACCCGTAGAATCTCCTGCTGCATTCTTAAATCCACATTTTCCAGAGTTCATGTTGTATCTTAAAAGCAGCTGGTTGATGCTGCATCATTTTTCTCATCGAATTTTTTTTTTAACCCTGCAGGAATCACAGTAAACCTCACTTGAGGCCGACCATCCCGACAGCGGACCGCAGCACAGGGCTTCTGGACAGCCCGGCCCTTTTTCCCAGCTTCCCCAGCGAGAGGCTGAATGGTGTGCGCAGCAGCCCTCCGACACGACTTCCCACCAGCCAGCCCAGAACTAGGTTACCCTCCACTGCGGCCTTCCCTCGTAGGGACACCGTCGGCACAGGGCGAGTAACTGAGCCCACAACCACAGACTACTCCCTGGGCATTGGTCGAGGAAGGTACGACATTTTCTGATGCATAAGAACCACTAGGTACCACTAGACAGTTAACGGTATCGTGCTGGCCTGATTATTTGGTCTGAGAAGTTTCTAAAATGTTCTTTTAAGGATCCTTTATAGATCACGTTGTACACTTGCGATCCTTTTATTTTTTTACGTGAGGTGTAAAATATTTTGGTTATGTGCAGTGGCACCAGAAACCAGTGGAGATAAAAATGTTCATATATCTAAAACTAGAGAATGTTCATAGTTCAAATAATTTAAAGAAACTTAAGACATATATTGTTCATGCTTCTATATTTACAAATGTTTTGGATCAATTTGTTTATTTAGCAACAAGTCTTTATTGTTTATAACGTGATTTTAGTGCTTGTAGGATTTAGTATCGTTAATTTATTCGCAGAACCTTTTAGGTTGTACAGATTTTAGAGACATGAACCATTTGAAGATATTTCAAGAGATGACGGTTTTGCATTCACAGCTGGTAGTTGAGTCGTGACTGTTAAGAACCAGCCAGAAAGAAAATGCGGGCGACTCCCCCATCGTTTCCAGATGTTTCTGTTTTTGTCTGTCCATACTACAGCGCAGAGTTTTTGTCACTCAACTCCAGAGTAGTGTGGGCAGCAGGAGCAATCGTAGCAGCAGTCGGGCGTTTTAAAAGTTTAACACTATGAGCCGTTAAGTGTAGACAACAGTCTAACGATGTGGAAACTCTCTACATGTGGTGAATCTGGTGTGGAATCAGTGTTTACTTTGTGCGAGGTAAAGTCATTGATTCACTGAGTGGATGTTTGAGCGGATGTTTGTAAATTGAGATGTTCTCTTTCTTAAAGGAAAAATGTTTCTACTTCTAGGAAAAAGAGGGATGAAAAGTTTACAGTAAGTATTCTTTTAGTGTCTTTGTCTTCATATTGTAGTTGTATATCCTTTATTCTCTTAAATGTATTTATCCTTGGTGTGAATTGAATTTGTAGTTTCATGGTGCGACAGTGACAGCTGGGTACTTATCCCGTAGTGTCATCATTCGCAGTATTTTATGAACTGTTAACCCTGTGACTTTAAAACTATTCACACTCCCATCGCTGTTGCATGTAGTTTGGCTTTGTTTGTGTCACAAAGTCGTTTCTGTCCTTTGACTCCGCGTTTGTTGCCGTCATGCAGAGAGTGACGCCCCAGTCGCCACCGCCTCCTCCCAAACCCCCGTCTCCCAGTTTCGAGCTAGGCCTCTCCAGCTTCCCTCCCCTGCCCGGAGCAGCCGGCCAGCTCAAGACAGACGACGTGTTCGACAACCGACTGGCCAGCAGCGTGGTTGTGGGAACTGCCAAGGAACGGGTACGGACTGATTTTAACATCGAGCTCTGCACGAGGGGCTCGGTGTATTTTAACTAACACACAGATTCAATATACAACCTAAAGTACACTACTGTTGGATGATTCCTTTTATTAATTCAACCTTGGGTTCGATTTTCTTTGAATGTTAAGAGAGTTGTGTTACTACAGTATTAATTAAAATGTTTAGTTACAGGATTTAATTTCTCATCTGCTTTAATTCCACAAACACACCTTCCTTAAATAACACTACATTGTGTTAATTTACACGGGGACACCACATCTTGCTTTATAATCACTTTTTAACCTCCTTTATGTGTCTGTGTCTTTGCAGAATGTAAGTGCGGAGTCCACTCCTGGAGTAGCTCTGTCTCCAGCGGCCAACAAAGAGCCGCTTCGCTCCCCCACCTCCCCGATGCCTACAAACTTCCAGCCCTCGCCGACCACTCCAAACCCGGCCTCAGCCCCGACACTGACCCCGGCCGCTGGCCCACCGCACAGTCCCGCTCCCTCCGTCCCAGCAGCGTAAGTCTTCAAGAACCTCATGAGGTCGTTATCTAGATTGTTGGTGCAACCCCAGAGTGATTCATACTTATTATGGCTCAGGTAGTTTGTGAGGTGTGTCTGTTGTATTTCACTAATGATTTCAATGACGGTGCTTCCTGTTGATCATTTTAGGGAGGTGAAGGTGACGGAGGCGAAGCCAAAGGAGGTGCAGTTGTCTGTGGAGCGAGTTCCTGGCACTCTGTCCACTGCAAGCAAATCAGTGCAAGTCAACGGTGCTGCCACAGTCAGTATTGATTTTTTTCTTTCCCCCCCCCCTCCCTCATCTCAGTCCCCTGTTTTTAAAGCTTATCCCCCCCTCAGACATCTCAATCACAGGCAAATCGATCCCAGCGTGAATTAAGTGGGTAAATTAATCGTGCCTTAATTCTGCACCGTCTCGTATTGATTTTGATTACAGACGATTCCATTTCTCACACCTCCAGGGTGGGGACACAGATATCAGTCTGAAAGGATGTAAATGCAACAACTGCAGGGCAAGTTTTAAATCTGTGTTGAACTTACCTCCCTCATTTCGTCAGCGTGAAGAAAAACGTCAGTTCTGGTTAAATTCTGCTCTGCTGTATATTTGTTTAATATTTTATGTGTTTATTTATTTAACAAAATAAGAATGAATAACAGAATAGATCAAATAAATAAAAGAAAATACTGAAAGATGTTTAAGACGCTGTCTATGATGTAGAAAAGATGGATGTTGTTTATCTGCATCATGATGTCATAGAAGACAAAGTGGAAACATGAACTCACATCAACAGGAAGAAATTCATTGATTTATAAATGTGGTGTCTGTGAGTGGACGAGCAGAATATTTAAGGACTGTCGTTGTTATTCCCTGCCAGGAGCTGAGGAAGCCCTCCTACGCTGAGATCTGCCAGCGGGTGAAGGACGCCCCGACATTACAGCAACCACCGACCCCCAAGGAAGCCAAGCCACCCTGCGCTGTCCCTGCAGGCGAGGAGAGGAAGTGCCCGGACGCGTCCGCCAATGCAGGGGAGGCCAAGTTCAGAGAGACACACCCTCCCTCCTCCAAACCCGGCTCGGCAGCCATCACCCCGGGCAGACCCCCGAGGGAGGGCAGAAGGCCGCCCGGGCGATGGGCCTCCCCACCCCCACACCCAGGGAAAACCCCAAGCAAAGATTCCCACCACACCCCGCCCAAGTCTCCGCAGTAGGAAGACTCCCCGCCCCTCCCAAGTCCTCTGACCCGATGCGTTTAAAAAAGGAAATATAAGTCAGGGCTACTCAATACTTATATCCCAGAATCACCAGTCACAAACAAGCGTAGAGGACGCCTTCTTTTCNCGCCCGGGCGATGGGCCTCCCCACCCCCACACCCAGGGAAAACCCCAAGCAAAGATTCCCACCACACCCCGCCCAAGTCTCCGCAGTAGGAAGACCCCCCCCCCTTCCCCACTATGCTCCACTGATGCGTTTAAAAAAGGAAATATAAGTCAGGGCTACTCAATACTTATATCCCAGAATCACCAGTCACAAACAAGCGTAGAGGACGCCTTCTTTTCTTGATCAGGGCTTGCAGACGAAAAGCACTTTACTGTGCATGTAGAGCTCCTCTCTGTTTGCGTTACGTAGTTGTGTCAGTCTGCAAGTTGGCACAGGCAACACTGAAACGTATTCATTCTGTCCAGACGGCCTTGTGGAATTAAAGTAGTCTTGTGTGTGAAGCAGCAGGGCATTGTTGGAAGCAACCCCAGTGGATGATGGGAAAAAGTGCGCACAACAGACTCCACCTTGTTTGGCTCTCAAAGCGACGGGCTTGTTTGCATTTTGAGTGGCACTGTTGTGCAACGTTATGTAGCTTAATTATGGGTCATAATTAGCAGATGTGTTTTTTTAACATACATAATCACTTTCATATGCAACTTAACATCTAATTCTCATCACAAGACTCTGGATTCTTTGGTTTACATCACCTGCGGGTTGTTTTCTCCAGATTCTTTTCCACCAGATGACTTTTCTTTTTCACACGTTGAGTTTGTGTTTGCAGACTGTCGGTACAGTTACTGCTGGTAATCTTCGCTGGGTGTCGCCTCAGCGGTTTCTTCCACTGATTGTTTTGTTTGTACAGAATCGCCTCCCTCTGCTGTTTGCTTGTCTTTACTCTTTGCTAACACTGCTGACTGGCTCGTTATGTCACAGAGCTTGATGATGCGTTACCAGTGACGGTTTTTAGCGTCTGGCTTAAAGGGCATTTGGATACCACTAACAAAGATTTTGCTAGAGACAAATTAGGAATCGATGGCCAAAATTGATTCTGGTGGTTTTTACCCGGTGTTCATAAGAGTGTGTGAAGAAATTGAACAAGTCTGAGGAAGCTCAGTTTTCTTGGCATTGCCTTTTTTGGGAAAATGTTTCACATCCCTCTTCTTGTTTCCTATCGAAACCTGTGGAATCGAACTATCAGCAGGCACATATGGAAGACGCAAACCTTGGTTTCAGTTCTCATCTGAAGCAGTTTGGAAATTTCCACTCGCCATCATGCAGACTCTTGTCAGTAAGGAGGTTGTAGGGTTGAGTCTTTGGTACAGAGTGGTGACAGTGGCATGTTTCTACTTCTTTCTCCGACTTATGGTGCTAGATGTCGACTCCTGGAGTCTGTTAGTACAGCTCATCTCATACTATTCATAGAAATACTTGATTTACATCTGCAGAAATTAATTTGCACCGTTTCGTGTTTTCTCGAGAAAACTTATTCGATTTTCCTACCTGAAGCAAAAAAAAAAAAAAGGGAATTGATCCTGAACGTTGAGGAATTAAAACGAAATGCAAATTCAGTTTTCCAGGAGCGAATAAGCTGACGGACCCTGCAGCACGATCTCTAAAGATAAACGGCTGAAGCCTTTTTGTTTTTCTCGCTCTGCCTTGTGATTCCTGTTGAACACGCTGTGGTGAAGGACGGACGTTTCTGCAGCATCAGTTTTGTCCAGCTTGTTTTATTTCCACTGAAGTTAATGCTGATTTTTTTTTTTTTTTTTTTTAATTTTCCCTGAAGGATTCGATGCTTGTGTAGGCTCGAGTTGGTTCGGCTTTTTGGCCTCTGGTTTTATGTCAGTGAGGATTTTCATTATAAGAGTGCTTCGGTGAAAATTGAAAGTGAGACTGTTGAATAGGCCAAATGGTTTTTTTTCAGGAAAAAGGTAAATGAAGAGTGGGGACTTTTTTTTGAGGGGGGCTTAGGTTGACATGTTGGAGTGTGAAATATTTGGTTTAAAAATGTGATGATTTCAGCCGACAGGAGTCAGGCGGGTTTACAGCAGGAATTTGATGAGGGAAATCTGACGCGGTCTTGTGAAGTCCGTCCCTGGAGTGATGATGCGCAGCTTCTCCATTTCCCTCAGTGTTGAGTCTTAACCACTCGGGTTGTTTGTCTTCTTTTTGTTCCCGTTTTTTTCTGAAGACGCGTTCTCGTCACATTCTTCTAATTTGAGTTTGCACCAGTTGATCTGTCCAGAGTTTAAAACTTTCTTGTAAACAAAAAAAAAACAACATTGGGAAAGTTTTACCGAAGCACACAGTCTCTTCTTGCTACTTCAGGCCTGTCTTCTCAAATAAATTGCAGCCGACAGGAGTTAAATTTAAAGCACAGAGTAAAGGAAAACAACCTTTTACGCCCTTTACTCACCATGAGCCTGTGGTTCAGGATGGAGACGTAAACACTGTCAGTCGGAGTTGGGTTTGCGAGACATGTTTTTATTCCGAGTAAAGTAGCAAGAACGCAGATTCAGGGAGGGAAGTTGTTGAACTCGGTCGAATTTGGTTACGGTTTGGTGCCTGTTTTCTGTAGCAGCCACTTTGGCAAATCTCGGATGTTTTACTGTCGTCTAAAAGTGTAATCAGTGGGTAAAGTGACACATAAAACACATAAAACTGTAATTAAAAAATGTCAAACGTTTGCTCTCTGGGACGTATTGAAGTCGAAGTGAGAACCCCTCCCTCCCCGTCAGTCGTGTGCTCGGGTTTATCTTTTCGAAGTTGTCACTTCAGATGCAAAATCCGTAATAAACAAAAAAGGAAATTAAAAAAATAATAATAACCACTGTACTATACACGGTATCTTTTCGGGGGAAACGCAAACCCACGCGACGTGGGACCTCGCATGTCTCGCCAAAGTCTTCCTGCAACAATAATCATTCTGGGAAACCCCACTAAGAAAAAAACCGTCTGCAGAAGGGAAAGCTTCATTAAAAAGCCTGTTCTCCCGCTCATAGCTGCTTTTGATTTGGACGCTACATCTTGAGTTTGTTATAAAGATTTTTGTTTTTGAAGGACTGAGATGCACTTGGATGGGTCGATTATTATTTTTCCCTATCTTTTTCTCACTGGTGGAAATGGTAAAAGACATGAACATTCACCATATCCACTTATTTATAAACCAGTGCTGTTTATTCCATGAGAAATATTAAGTTTTTTTCCTTTTTGTTTTTTTAGGGAGAAGAAAAAATAGAGATGCGTCGAGGTCTCTATCTTTACACAAAATGTAAAAAAAAAAATCCATCCAGTGTTTGAGAAACTTGAATTTTATTTAAACTTGAAAAATGACTTTGCCTTAACTTTTATACAAGAAAAGCATAGAGTTTATTTCTTTTCACAAAAAAAAATCCCCAAATGTTAAAGTGTGACACGTGGAAAATATTTAGTCGTACTAGACGTCACAAGTCTTACACACACAGAGAGAGAGAAAGAGAGAGAGAAAGAGAGAGAGAGAGAGAGAGTACAAATCTAACAGCAGTTTCTCTCCACTTTGCTTTTTTTCGTTTGTTTTTGTAAAATGTACGAAAAAGAATCATTTTGATTTTTCTTCTTGTTTAATCGTTTCAGGTTGTTTTCTTTTTTTTGGGGGAAAAATATAAACCTTGTAAATGCAAAACTAGTCAATACTGTATTAAATATGTGCACTTTGAAGTGTGTGCTTTGCTTGTACAGTTGTAAATACTCAGAAAAATATAAGAGGTACCTTAAAATGATTATAAAAATATATTGATCTTGTTGAACTATTAATGTCGCTATCGAGCTGGATGTAGGATATAAAAAAAAAAAAACTTAATGTTGTGCTTTTGAAAATATTTTTCTTTAACTTTTTTTTATCTGGGTGAGCGGAGTTTGAATTCCGCTCCGCTCTGCAGCGTGGGCAGGTTGTCTGATTGTAAAAAATGTTTTTCTTGTCAGTTGTCTCATTCCATATTTTCCTACCTGTGTGGTCGATCACACCTGGGATGTGCAGGTGTGACTCCACCCCCTCCTCGCTGTGCACTATGAACTTTATATAAAGATGGACGACGCGTCTCCACTTCCCCCCTCCACCCTGAAACAAAGCCAAAATATCTCGAATACGAACGAACTGGGTATCGAAGGCGCTGGACCAGTCGTGAGTCAGTCTCTGCTGCAGTCATGTTTTTATATCATCAAATAACTAACACAAACCAAACTGATCAGAAACAAACGTCAGAGCGATAAGAACTACCTAAAATACCAGAAACCATCTCTGAGAAAAATGCATTAAAAGTGTACTTTTTTTTTTTTTCCCTTGCTATGTACATGTCCCATCCACTAACATGGAGGAGGTGGGGCTATGCTGCAGCCAGCCACCAGATGCTATGGCTTCACTATTGGGCAGCGTTCCTGTCGTCCATCTTTATTTACTGTCAGAACGAGCGTGTGGGGAAACCTCATTGATGAACTTTGCAAAGCTGCGTGTCCAACAACGTCCTCTTCGAAGCTCCGGCTTCTGTTCTCTTTGTGTGTGTCGGGAATTATTTTATGTTGTATAGTTGCAGTTTGTTTTCATGGCAATTATGCAAGAGAACGCACTACAGTCAGATTTGTGGTCGTCGCTGTACGCAGCAGCATCATACCGGGTGTTCAATTCTACTTTTAACTTACAAAAGTACATTTAAACAACCTGCAGTTTTTAAGAAATGAAGGTTTTCCAACAGTGATAATTGTCGACCGTGACACTAATGCTAAACATTACAGTTAAAACATTTTGATGCGTATACGACTCTACATTGTATAATCTAACAGCTCGACCGTACGATAGCTGCCGTCACAAACGATTTACTGTCGGGAGAAGAGGATGTTCAGTCTGAAATCTCCTCGTCCACTAACTGTGGCTGAATGTTTTTGATATTTGCTGCTTTCTGTCCATGTTACGAGACGATTACCTGCTGGAGCCAGGAGGCCAT